TCCCCAAAAATAAGACAGGGTCTTATATTAATTTTTGCTCCAAAAATGCATTAGGGCTTATTTTCAGGGGATTTTTTATTTTACAGTCGTGTCATCTTCTGATTGCTGCACAAGGGTGGAGGACGGGGTTTCACTTAACTGCGGCTTATTTTGGTGGTAGGGCTTATATTATGAGCATCCTGAAAAATCATACTAGGGCTTATTTTCAGGGTAGGTCTTATTTTGGGGGAAACAGGGTATGTAGGAAATATTATTGGAAAAAGTGAGAAAACGTATTTGTTTCCCCCAGTTTTGTGTAAGTACACAGCAGTTACATGAGCATTGATTATGTGAAAGACTTGCATATTGCCTTTACTCAGTCAACCAGCATTTGGGACCACCAGGAATACAGCTGGCAGTACAGGCTAGCCCTGAGTTGTGACAGAGTTTGTTAATTCTATGACCATCAAGCGATAGCAGGTGATTTCCATGTCATTATTTTACTCTCTCGAAATCCAATCATGTTTAAGAAATCAAATCTAGCTGGACTTTGATAGCTTCCTAACACCACTATTATTTTCAACAGCTTAGTTTAATCAAGTATAACAATTAAAGAAAAAATAATTTAGAGAGATAAGAAAAAACATTTTCATATAATTCCTTACCTACTGATAACATTTGGTATTTTTGTGTTTTCTCATGGAACACAGACGTTAACCACTCAAAATGTTCATTATTATTGCTGGTGTCATTATAATGATACAAATTTAAGTAATACAAGTTGAGAACTCACAAAGTGATGGAGGACTGCAGAACAGACTACTAATGATGATGTCAGTAATAATAATAAACATTGGTGATGATGTTAATGATGCCAATAATAATAAACATCCCTTCTGAACAGCGACACTTCTGTTATAGCTATCCATACTCTATGAAGGCCTAAAGATTTGACCTGATAATAAAATACTGATGTGTGGGTAAACTTGAGGGCAGGCACTGGCAACATACTTGGTAGGGCTTTCAGAGCTTCCCTGCCTCCTGGTCACTTTCCAAATCCAAATTAACATCTTGGTGTTTATCTTTAAAGCCTTCCACAACTCCCACCCCTGGCACTTAGCAAGTATCTACTTAAATATCAATCTATCTGTACATTTAGCGTCATTTAAAAAGGACTTCCTACATTTACTGTCACTGTATTAGTGTAAGAACAATAAGGGAAGGGGTGCTTCTTGATTATAAAACCCCAAAAAGAATTCATTATGGAGGCTTGCTTAGTGCCTCTTCTAACATATTTTGGTTGCCAAGGAAGGAGCTTTTTATTTCCCGATGCTTCCATGCTTTCATTACTTTTTATGCTGCTTGTTTCTGGTTTTGTTTGCTGCTTTCAGCTCCTTGATACTGCTAGGTGCGCTCTTCTGTTCCATTTATCCAACAGTGGAAAGAGTATGCAACAGAAGTCCTAATACATAAGTTGTGCTTTTGGAGAGTCCTGAGGAATAAAGAGAAATCGTGTTTCTAATTCCACGTCCTTTTCTTTGAACTACACTAATCTGTTACAGAAACTATAAAGGGAAACCTAAATTCTGAAATGAAATCCATGCACTTGCAAATATTGTTTATATTAAAACTAGAAGGTTCAACATAATAGAATGGGTGGGTTGTGCATGTTACACCATGGATTCCTATGCTGAGGATTCAAGTCAACCACATTCCTTTCTGCAGGATATTTCTCTTCATTCTCTCTCCTCTGTGTTTCCATTTGTTCCCCCAATAATCAGGTACCATTCCATGTCCTTTGCTGTTTTTCCTAGGTTTTCTTCCTTCATTTTTTTTTCTTGTACTTCTGCAAATTCCCGAGCTTCAACCAAAACCGCTTGTACCTCCTCTTATGCATGGATAGTATTTTTTGCCTACATATTTTCACCTAGTGAATTACAGTAGTTGTTATTAGCAGCTATGATTATCTTGGATTTCAATCAATCAAGTTGGTTCAACACAGTGGCAAAGAGTAAGCCATACAAGAAATAAATCGGGTATCCTTAAACAAGCAACCCTCTCAGTCCCAACCCTGTATTTCCAATATGAGAAAAATGCTACTAACAATACTAAGTTCATAAGGATAAAGAAGGTAAAGCAGTTAGTGAGAGCTGTTTCATTAAATAGGCACTAAGGACTTGGGAAGGAAGATCTATGCTTTGAAAATCAAATTCTTATTCTTTACATTGCCAAACTGAACCAAAATAGATTTGTCTACTCCATCCTCCCTTCCAAATCACTCCTTACATGGGGAAAGAGCTTTTGGGAATGCTATACTCTCAGTGCAATGGAATTCTGAACTTATTGACTTTATAGAAGTTTTCTGATATTGTAGCTGTGTGGATGTGATATCCTGGGGTTGCTATAAGCATGTTATCTATCATTAGAGTAACAGATCTGATTAGACATACATTCATTTTTACTTGGCTCTAAATCTCAAAATTCTCCATTCTTAGAGTTTTAGGGTTTTTTAAAAAGCAAGCTAGTGGAGAGCGGGGTGGCCAAATACCTACAGGCACTCCTGGAGGAAACTGATGCCTCTGATCATCCCAGTCCAGGTTCAGGCTATGTCATGGTACAGAGATGGCACTGGTCACCCTGCAAGATGACCTTCTATGGGAGACCGATGGTCCTCCTCAATCTCTCAGAAGCCTTTGATACTATCGACCATCGTATCCTCCAGGGGAGGCTTTCTGTGTTGGGAATCAGTAGCCTGGCTCTGATCCTTCCTAGAGGACTGTCCTCAGAAAGTGCAGCTTGGGGAGACGATGTCCACCTGTTGGACTCTTAATTGTGGAGTCCCACAGGGTTGATCATCTTCCCATTGCTGTCTGAAATCTATATGAGGCCACTGGGGGAGGTCATCAGAAGTTTGGGAGCTTTGTGTCACCAATATGTAGATGACATCCAGTTCTCTCTCTCTCCTTGCAACTATCTGCAGAGGATGCCATGCC